AGGGAGGCCCGGTGGGTGAGGGTGGAAAGGACACTACGTTTCGTGGCCGGGTGGTTGTGTGAGTCGGCATGTAAGTAGTGATTGTTGTGGATGAGTTCACGGTACACAGAATGACCGATTCTGTCATCAGGGCGCCTGATTAGTATGACGTCCAGGGAGGGAAGGGAATTGTCAGTTTTGTTCTGCTTCCATAGTGAATTTAACGCGCGGATGGACGTTATTGAAGTGCGCGAAGAAAATTTCAAGGGACTCGATGCCATGGGGTCAGATGACGAATGTATCGTCGACGTAGCGCAGCCATAGTGACAGTTTTAAGGGCGCGTTTTGTAAGGCCTTCTCTTCGAAAACTCCCGTGAACAAATTCGCAACAAATGGGGATGGCAGTGCCCTCTGTCTTAGCCTAATGCTCTTGCCTCTATTAGAAAAATGTTGTCTTTAGGCAGATTTCAGTGAGTTTGGTTCACTCTTTCGGAAGCTGATGTAGTAAGAGGTTGTCTTTCTTGATGGCGTCACTAGCCAGGAACCACGGAGAAGAGAGAGGTAACGTCGAAACTGACCAGGATAACGTCAGGGCCTATTCTGGTGCAGCGGATAAGTTCGATGAAGTATTTGGAGTTCAGGACGGAGGTCGGCATATGGTCGGTGAGAGGTTTCAGTATTTTAGCCACGAAACGAGCTAAATGTAGGGTAGAAGAGTTTATGCCACTTACTATTGGGCGGAGAGGTACTTCGGGTTTGTGGATATTGGGTAAGCCATCTTGGCATGGCATTCCGCGCTATCCATGATCACAATGGCGTTGCCTTTATCTGCAGATAGAATAACGATGGCATCCCGCTGCTTAAGGTGTTAGTAAAAAAATGTATTTTGAGCGGCGATAGATGACAGCTGACAAAAGTAGGTGGCAAGTCCGAATAGCTATCCGAGAACAAAGAAAATAGAAAACTAATAGGGGAAAAACCGTGCTATTCTGTAGCACCACTAGTTTTCTTAGTAGTTTCCGTGCAATATTGTGGCATTATGTGCAATTTTAAAAATAAGAGCAAGATTTTCTCAAAAATATTCCATTTTTTTCTTTAAACTATTGGTAGAGAGAGTGATAAATGCACTCAATGAGATGACATAAACGCACATCTTATCTATCTCTTTGTTTTTCAAAAATTCCAACAATGTATTTTTTTGTCTCTCGTGTCGTTAATATTTGCACTAGTGACAATTTGGTCACATTATTTTATTTATGAGTGCTTTAAATAATGCCATATAAAGTTTTTCGAAAACTAAACATTTTCTGTGAAAATTATCTCAAAATCCCGCTTGTTCAGAAACGCTCAACCGCCATTTTCTCAAAAGCAGCTTTAAATTTTCTTCAGACGTCCCCAAGGAGTAGTGCGAATTACACTGTTTTACGACATAAAGCTCATCTTCGGGTATATTTTTGTTTTTCAAAAATTACACAAATTTTTTTAAGATCACTCACGCACTTTATTTTTTTAAGATCACTTAATATGCACATTTCCAACGATTTGCAAACACTATTTAATTAAGAGTTAAAATACCTATAGTGACTTAAAATGAAGTTTTTCTAAAAATCAACTATGTTCTCTGAAAAAGTGCTTGAAAATCGCATTTACAGTGATACTTAAACGCTATTATCTAAATACGGCTCCAAATTTTTCAACGAAATGTGCCATATAGGACGAGTGCTTACTCATCTTTAATATTTATTAATTAATAAATCGATTCTACCATTAAGAAACTGAAAAATTGAGATTTTTTTAATGTACTTGGGTGGCGATAGATAGCAGCTGGTAAGAGGGGGGAAAACTAAAATGCTAGCAGACCAAAGATATTAGAAAACTAGTACGAGAACATCTGTGCCATTCTGGAGCATTACTAGTCTACTTTCTCGTATAGTATGAACATACAGAGTAATATACAAAGGGCACAAAGAAAGTTTTGCAATACGACGCAACCGTAGGACAGGAGGCTGCTTGTCGCAGGGTACTGAGACATATATTTGCACAGTAGCCGCTGTGCTGCGTCTGCGGGTTCTCAGTTCTTCAGTGACAGTGGCAGTTTGAAGTGCTTGCTATGGATTCGTGGTCTCGAAGTTGTGATTCAGGCAGTTTTGTTGTATAACTTCGCGTGTGGTTTAAACGTAGACCAGTTCTTTGAAAAAATGACTTTTGCTCTCGGAGATGTTTGTCCACATCGTAGTACAATATTCAGGTGGTACAGAAAATTCCAAAGGAGAAATTTCAGTTTGGAGGATGCTGAGAGAGCGGGCAGGCCACGAACATCAGTTACGGAAAAAAACATTGCTGCTATGAGCAAAATGCTTGAAGACAGACAAGTGACCTACAAGCAGATAGAAGATACCTTAGACCTTAATGTACCAGCAATTCGATTCTGCATGATCATTTGCAAGTGAAGAAACTTTTTTGTCTCTGGGCGCTGCACACACTGAATAGCAGATGACACGACGTGTGACTTGGTGCTGGGGAGATGCTAAAAAGGTTTTCTAAGGGTCAATCTCGGTATCGTGACAGTTGACGAGACTTGGCTGTACTATTATGACGTGCCTACCAAGACTCAAAACAAAGTTTGGATTTTTGAAGATTAAGAGACACCCGTCGCTGCCCGAAAATCTCGATCTGTATAGAAGAAAATGATAGCTGTTTTTTTTTTTTCAAATTGAGTGGAATTGTGGAGCGTATTGTTTTGGAGACACAGAAGAGAGTCACAGCTAAGTGTTACGCAGAACAGTGCCAGCCAAAAGTCATTCAATCGTTGAAGAACCTGCGGCCAAATTCAAGAATGGACACTTGGTTCCTCCATCATGACAACGCTCCAACTCACCGCGCCAAAGCCTGCTTACTTGACCACTATAGGACTGAAACTTTTTGAGCACCCTCCTTACAGTCCAGACCTCGCTCCTTGTGACTTTGCACTGTTCCCGCATGTGAAAATGAAGCTGAAAGGAATGCGGTTTTCCAGTGATGAGGACCTACTGAGGGCTTGGGACAACGATTGTGCCTTACTCCCTAGTGAAACTTAGCAGAACTGGTTTAGGGATTGGTTTCGGAGGATGAAAAGGTGCATTGAATATGGTGGAAATTTCTTGGAAATAAATAAATAAATAAAGCTGTATTGCACAACTTTCCTAGTACCCTTTGTACATAAAATAGAGAAAATTAGGTAATGCTGAGGAAATCGAAATTTCAAAAGAAATGCACCTTTTGGGGTTCCCTTATACCGAACAAGTATTTTTACTTTCCCGTATACATACGGATATGCGGAGTAATATACGTAGTATATGGAAAGTTATGTAATGCGCGAAAAAACCGCCGTTTTCCGCAGGAAAAAATTAACTGCTGCCTGATAATGAAAAAGTGAATAAATCCAGTTGATAAGTTAAGAAAAAATCTTCAGACACGTGTAGCCAGAATCCGTTTTGTGGGTCCTTGATACCAAAATAATTGACGGCAACACGCACGCCCGTCCGTCCGTGAACACCACTAACACCTAAATCACATGTACGATTTTTTCCAAAATGGATATCCCCCGGTCGATCTCGCTCCACTCGAGGCACCGCGATTTTGAAAATCTTTCTTTAAAGTTTGGAACTACTTTACATACAGCACTCCAGACACTTTCAAATTTTCACAAAATCGGCTTCAAATTTATTCTTTAAATTTCTTGCAAGAATAGAGTAAAATATACTCGTCATAGATCCGATTTTCACGGCAAACTAAATTTTCGAAAGTTTGGATTTTTTATCGCCGTCTTCCTACAACTACAATATTGAAATTAGAGGTTTCTCCTTCAAATTAAATTTGTTCATAAATAGTTATTTAAGTCATGTACATTTTTCTGAAACTTTTAGTAGTTTAGATGCAATATTGCTTGCAACATTTGCAATTTTAAAAAATCACAAAAGATGTTCTCAAAAATGTTCCAAATTTTTTCTTTAAACATTTTGTAGGGATAGTGCTAAATTCTATGAGATGACATAAGCATCATATTGCTCTTCAAAAATTACACTTTCTGCTTTTCAAAAATTACAAAAATGCAATTTTTTCAAGAGTATCTCAGGTCGTTAATATTTATATTAGTGACATTTGTGCACATTATTGTATATACGAGTACATGTGCTTTAAATAACACCCTATAAATTTTCACGAAAACAAACATATTCAGTGAAAACTAGCTCAAAATTTCGCGTAATCAGAAACGCTCTACCACTATATACAATCGTCAAACCGAGAAAATTGAGCGTAAGCCACATTATAAGTGTATTTTACTCTATTCTAACAATGTAAAGAACAAATTTAAAGCCATTGTTGAGAAAATGCCCCAGGGACTTCATCAAACTACTGAATGATTTTCAAAATCACAGAGCTTCAATTCAGGCCAAATGAACAGCGGTTACTTCAATTTGGAAGAAATCCTACGCATGGTTTATGCGCTAGTGATGTTCACGTACACCAAATAGATGGACGGACAGACAAACATTTTGACACAAACACTTTTTGGTATCAGTGTACCCCAAAACGTGTATTTCCGTAGAAATCACGTAATGGATTTTCAGCAGCATTACCTAACTTTCCCTGTACATACATTATTCCGTATAGTATGTATAAGGGAAAGTAAAAGCGTTTCTAAATTGTTTGCATCTATCACGATAGCTACTGTCAAAGAATATTGAATTAGGGCCTACTTTGAAGGGGGGGGGGGGTTAGTGCCCCAAACCTGATCAAGGTATTCAAAATATTTTTTTCAGGCCCAAGGGTCTGATCCTTTTTTACGGGACGGCCTCGTATGTAGTGGAGGAGCCTGGTAGCAGAAATTCATTTACAGAAAAAACAGAAACAAATGAGAATTTTAATTAATCTATACTATTACATATTTTTGTAATTATAACCCTTGAGGGATTATAAAATTCAAGATCTTCTCATGATGAAGGATGGGATTTGTCCTTTTTTATTTATTTTTTTTTTCTTTACAAATTTGGGATAAATAAAACCATCATATTGAAAATTCCTGTATTTATAAAAAAAGAAATCAATAAAGAAGGATTTATAAAGCTTGTTTTAATTAAGTTAATTGCAGCTGTAAGATAAATTATCTGACAAATAGTGAACAGACACAATGATGGAGAACAAAAGACATTTCTAAATAATTATTCAATCATCATCAGGCACAACACTACTTGGATTTGGAGGTTTTGGTCCCCCTGCTCTCTTTGCAACAATAATCTGGTCAACTTTCAAAATAGTTCCTGCAGCATTAGTGGCATATTTTAGACCCCACATTTTATTTATGTATAAATCTAAGATGCCTGCTTGAACAACATCACCGACAGATGTCCCTTCATCCTGAAAAAAAACAAAGGCACAAAAGTTTTTAGAATTTTTCTTGGTATGAATGGATTCTTTAAATTGTACACAATTTCTAATAGAAAGTATTTCTCAATTTAAAAGTATAAAGACTATAACAACATACATTGACTGACAGGATTCACTCTCAATTTTTGAAATCTTGTGGAATTGCAATGCAAAGCATTTTGCGAATTATAGCATTGGAAAATAATTTCCTTAGGAATTTTAAATTATTTTTAAATGAAGTGTATGAAATTATTATTTTTAAACAACTGTGTTTGGTTTGGTTTGTGAAGACCAACAAGTTAAAAAAAATCAATTCTAATCATGCAAAAAACCCTCTCATTTTGCTCAGGAAATAAAAATGCATACATTACAAGTCATTATTTGTTTCATTGCTAATCTATAGTTCCATCGAAACAGAATGCCACCTTTGTGAATAATTATATAACAAGGACAAGGATGGACAGTGAGGAATGCATGCAGAGAGGAAGAATGTTAGAACATGGTGACACTGAACCATGAGGATGCCAGTAATGAAAGGCCTGGAATTGAGGAAAAGTAATATTTGTATACTTTAGGTCGTGTTTCACAGACTTCGTACTAAAATACTAACATTATGCGGTGTTACATACAAACGTTTTTGAAAATTCATAGAATAATTTGCAATAAACAAAGCTACAAAAACAATTACAAAGATTTATTATTTAGAATGGAGGATAATCTCCTTGACTAGATTCACATTTCACAAAATAAATAAAAAGCAAGCATAAGACAAAAATAAACAAAATGTGACCCAACTTATCTCCTTGATACACAGCAAAAGTAAAAAGAACACAAATATTTTTATGCATATCAACGAAATAAAATTTTCTTGTCACAATTCTCCAATACAATGTGTAAGCAGGATATGGTGGACATCTGTCCACAAAAAACACAATTTTTCTTTGCACACCTACTCTTGTATTGTAGCCATTGCCTGTAGCCAAACCTGAAATATTTTCATTGTTATCCTTGAAGTTTTGTTGGGATCAATAAGTGGACAAGGTTTTAATATCTTTAAAACACACTAGGTTTTCAAATGTTCCTATTCTAATTGGAGGCAGTTTTTCAATCATCCCCGTTTGTACTGAAGAGCAAAACAATTCCCCCTATACTTTTCTTCCTCTGTGATAATTTCTCCCCTTAAATGCCATTGACCAGTCATTCACATTAAAGAGTCCTGTCTCTTCAGCACTGAAAAGGTCCTCAAAGGCTTATAGTAAAATCAGTTCTTTCACATGTTCTGCCTTGTGTAAAAACAGTGCTTAACACTTGCTCTACCCACAAATTCTTTTGCTGCCAATCCCATGTCACTGTTCGAATTAATGAAGCCAGCCTTCAAAATATTTAATTCCAAGATGTACCACTTCTATTTCTGCCGCTTTCACACTAGGCATAGGAGAGGTCCTGCCCTTTGCACAGTGCTACTGGAATTAACGCAGCATCACTTTTTCCAAACTGCTTTGGACTGGAGGCCAAAAATCACTAGTTCTTTCGCAATATCAACTATTTTTCATTGCTACCCTCTTCCATCATTTTTAAAAGTTGTAACTTTCCAGCTACTCATTTTGCTTCATAACAAAAACAGAATACATAACATAGCAGATCAGCACAGGAAACATCGAAGAAGAGTTCCCGGTGAATTAGTGATGCACCCCCCATCAAAGTAAATGCTGAAAAAGAGAGCTGCTCTTTATGCTGTTTATTATAAGGCCTTTATAGTCTTTAAAAGGGCCTTTTTGTGGAGGCAGAAGCATGAAAAATAAATCAATTATCTGAAATAATTTAACACAGGAAGTACTGGAATTTTCCTTAAAAAACAACAAAGAATAAAGTTGAAAGTCCTGTTAAGTACAAAAATGTATAAACTGAGTTTTACTACGTAACACCAACAAAAACAATATAACATTGAATAGACTACGAGCATCTTTTCACAAGTTTCCAGAACAAATAACAGACTTAAGATACAACACAAGTCAACAGAATTTAAATAAACTTAAAATCTAAATTAAACCACTAATTGTTTAAAAAATTGTCTTGCTAATGAGAATATTAAAACTTAAGCCTGAACTATCACATTTTCTTGTTCTTTAAAATCATCATCATCATCAATGATTTTTGTCAATACCAATCTTCATCTTCGCACCATTTATCACATTCTTTCCTTTTGGTCCTCCTCCCATTCTGCATCGTCTTGACCATTTATGCTTCCCTGAAAGTGTTGGATTTGGGGTAGTCTCATCTAAAGGCACCTAAGAACATTCCCTTCTGAATCATTTGATTTTCTTCCTGTCACACACTTGTCCATGGCCTCTGATGGGCTCTTCAAGAACGAACAGTTCTTTCACATTCTTTAACAGAACACATTTGAAATTTGCATTGCTTAATGTACGCATGATCCAGTTTAGAACTGCTAACTCTTACATCCCAGCAAGTTTCCAAGTTTGGGAATTATTTGCAAAGAACATTTTTTTTAAATATTACCAACATGGTTGGATGTAGAATGCATACTTCTATCAACATTAATATTTTCATTTCCATCTCTTACAAAATGCAGATTTGCAGTTATTGATCTAAGAATCCGCACAGCCTCATCAATCAGCACAAAATCTCGCCCAAGATTTTTATAGTGTTTTTACTCTGCATTTTACTTACTACAGAGCCATTTGTTAGAGATCCTCTCAACAAAAATTCTGGTCGGGGATGCTAGGCAAATTCACATTTACTAAGATTATGTCTATGAATGTAATTAGAAGGTACTGGATTGCATATGGATGTATATTTTTTAGATAATTGCACATTTTTAACAATCTGACATATCAGCATATTACTACAGTTTAAAGTAATTCAACTCATAAATTGCAGGGGAGATTTCTTAGAAAGCAAGATGTTTGTATTTATTCCATTCTTCAGACACCAATAATATCTTCGAGAAATGACACGACCAAAACTTCATTTTCAATTCAATTCTTGCTTCAAGAACAATTTGCAGATTCAAGTAGGTTGCAACAAGGAGGAGGTTCTTCCAGGAGAAATTGCTGACGGTCTAAATATGCCACATTTTATAATGGCAGTCGAACCCAGGCCGTGGGAAGCGAACACCTAAACCACTCAGCCAACAAGGGTGGTAATAAATGTAATACATGGCAAAATTATTAATCTTTTTTTAATACATATTGTTATTTTTATTTCCTGCATATCTATACATAATTTGGCATAAATCCCCATGTTCCATGCATATTTTAGGAAGGGAAGAAAAAAAAAGAAAAAAGGAAGAGAAAGAGGGAAAGAAAGAGAAAGGAAGAAAGAAAGGAAAAGAAAGAGAAAGGAAGAAAGAAAGGAAAAGAAAGAGA